ATTCCTAGCCTTGCAATAAAAGCTAGGCATTTTTTCCATTACAATTTCAGAACTTGTATGCAATTTGGAACATCCAAGTTATTGCAGTGTCATTACTGTAGCAACGGAACGACTTGAAGCACAATTGTTCTATGGATCTAATCCAAGTGTTTTGTAAATTTCTAAAATTTAAAAAATTATAGGAAGTAGGTCATTTAGTATGCAGTACATACATTGGTTGGAGAATACTGGTATAAAAATAGCTGCTCAGGAATTCTTCATTGTTTCTAAGTGTGTTTGAAGGACAATGCTTTGAAGTGTATGTATTTTTTTTTAAGTTCTTAATATTGAAAATGCTGGCTTTAATAAAATCTGTTAGTAATTTCACTTGTAAGGTCAATATTGTCACTGAAGCCTGTAGCTTTCTAATGGACTTTTCAATCTTTCGTAAAAAGATTGTAAAAACTCTTTGCAATGGTGTTTGCATTTCAATTTAATAAAACAGGTCTTGAATAAATTTTGAATAATCTTCTAGCTTTCATCATGGAATTTATGAGTTCCCATATATAACGTATAACAAACAAGAAGAAATGTGAAGCATCCAGCACAGTTCATAGGATGGGCTCCCACTATTCTGCATGTGGAAGGCCCAGTGCCAGGTGCATTTAACCCACCTCGTATGCACTGAGCAATTTATCTGACATGCAGGAGGCTCCATATTGCAGGTGTACTGAGAACACAACCTGAAGTCCCCTCTGCATACAAAACTGGGCATGAGAGAGCCTCTTGTGTGAACGGGAAGGCGCTGTGCTCCCCAACTTCTTGGAGGTTGGAAAGGTTGGTTTACTGCTGCTCACATCTCATTTCACTCCTAGGACACAGGGCATAAACAGGCAATATATTCAGATGGTCCAAGCGTTTGGGGAGAGAGGGCTGCTATTACCCACAGCCGGTCTTCTAGGTTTCATGGAAAGCACACAGTTAAGGCAACGAGCTCATTCACTAGGTCTCATCTTTTTTATATTCATGCTTCTTTATGGCTCTTTGTTTTGAAGAAAATGATTACTGACATTCAGGCACTAAAACTTGCCAGGAAAAGCTCAAGAACCTGGGAATGCTGAGGTATGTAAGTGCCACACTGGTTATTAGAAAGGACAAATACCTGACTCGTTGCAGCAAGAGCAGGGGTGTTTCCTGTGAAAATGAGGCTACCTTTCAGGGTAGGTGAAGTAGGCAGCCTTCTACCTTAGGAATAGTTAGAGACAACAAAATAACTGTGAAATATTTTTCACTGGCAATTTTGTCTTGTTATGCTAATTATCATTCTAGGGGATACCATCACAAATCTCTTCTTAATTTAGTATTGTAAGGAACTGGGAAATTAACAGGGGAGGGCAACAAAGAGTTTTCTGCTTGCTTTAGAAAA